ATATATACCTGCAACTTGTAATTCAGACGAGCAAGTGCCTCGATGAAAAAGTCGCCTCCTTTATTCGTGAACTCGTAACGCCCGGCTGTGAAGAAGTACAGTGTTTTGTCCAGGTCGAAATTTAGATTCCTGAGACAAATCGTTGTTAATTTACTTTCCATACATACCGCAGCAAACCAAGCCATAACGACATCAATGATACATGTATGCAGTCCTCTTTCTCCCTGCTTTTGTATTATACCACGTATGCTGTGACATCAAAAGTCATTGTGTTAAGCTTGAACATTCAGTGTTTGAAGCCCTCGTGCCCTCAAGTGAAGTCAACTTGCTCATACTCATTCAAATGCACTAAATGCATTCCTCTTAACGATATTACTTTTATTTAAAGAAGAGTCACTTGTTTGATACCCTTTGTGATTCATTTGTGATTCACACGCTTTATCTAGCACATAACGGTTAATTTCGCAACTAAAGTACCGAACTTTCACGAAATCAGCGAAATCGGCAAATATATTGCAGCGGAAGAAAACACTACTGTTGAGATATCATTTAAATAAGGCCCGCTCCACTGTCTATATGATTCAGAAAACAAAAGATCAGTCTATGTGATTAAGAAGTAGGGAAGTAAAATGCGCAAAAAAAACATATGTGAGTGAAAGCTGCGTGAGAGAGCAAAAGAAGAGCTCTCTTCGTAGGGTCTGCTGCGATTGTTCCGCCGAAATAATAAATCCACCATGCACTCACCACCCGCGACCATTAAGATTGACATTTGCACGGTTTGCCGTTAGGCTTAGCTTTCCTTCAGAGGCTTTTAGAATCTGAATCTCTTCTCTTTCTTCTTTCTGATCTTTAAAATCTTTTTTCTTTCAACTCGTTAGTTCGTATGCAAACTAATTCTTCAGAAATGTTTCCTGTACTTTCAGTCCCCAGATCTGCCCTTTTTTGAAATTTGTATGCATTCGTCATCAGTTCGAAGCGCTCTCAATCGTTAGGAATTGTTACATTGAAATGTGGGTTCAGTCTCGAATCGCAATGCTCCCCCGCCACATTGCGCGGCACGACCTCATCATCTCAGCGAAATAATCGCACCGTACCCTTTCACTTCAGCTTGAAGTCCCCTCCACAGCTCCTTTTGCAGATATAAAAAAAGAAACGAACGAGATGCTGGGTTCAGAAATGAAGACTGACGACGACCTAACATTCACTCATACACATATAATGAGAGTTTCAAAGTTTTGCATATGAAACGGCTGGATTTCACTAATGACTGAGAATCGTCTTCGAAAGAGCATACTTCGATAGCAGAAAATCAGGGAATCAGCAAAGTTAGCGAAAAAGGGTGGAGCTAACAAAGAAGGCTTTTCAGGGCGTGGAAGGCTCCTAGAAAATGGTTTTTGCATGGTATAGGGGCACGAGCACTGAGTATAGAACTATTGTCCATTTCCGCTAAATGACCTTCTGAATGCCAAAAAACGGGGGGAATGATTTTCTCAGAAATTGCCGTTTCGACTTAAACGTCGCTTGTTTCATTGACGGCGTCGACTTTCCGCACAGTAGAAGGCGCCAGTGGACTGCGCATTGAAATAACCTGAACGGTAGCCAAAAAGGGAGCTACATATTGAAAAGTGCGGGGAAGTTTTATATGTGCTCTTCACGCTCGAGCTAATGGCAGCGACGGATGGTGTGGTAGATAGCGGTGTGGACTTCGGGTAGGGACGACTAGGCTGGGTTGATGGTTCGGATCCCCGGAGCTCTGCATTTGCATTTTATGCTGCCACCTCCAGATTGGCTCCATATTGCACCAGGGCCAAGGCAAGTGCCTGACCGGTCGTGGTCGTGACCAGGACCAGCGATAACCACTACAAGTCGTTAGAATTTGATACATGGCGCACTATCAGTGAAGGAGCTTCCAGGCTTCACCCTCCCAGCAGTATAAAGGGGTCCCTTCGTTTCACACTATATATATATAATTGTTGTAATGGGGGCCAAACTCCAATAGTATGGTTCCTGTTCGATGGAAGCTGTCCTCGACCTCGTTCGTCGACGCAAAGATAACAGGATTCCCATATTCATTTTAGCTCCCGATTCCGACTTTTCTCTGAGCGTCAACCGCGGACTTCTGTGGGAAAACGAATCAGATTCGCCTTCCGGCTGAAGCATCCATGAGCATTCAGGAAGTTGAACTAACTCCTTGATTCGTCCCCCCTTATATCTTAATACTTTGTTTTAACACTATCGTTTATATTTATTGATTAGGCTTGATATAAAAAACTGTCACCCCTGAAGGAAATCATTCAAGCGCAAGATTACTAGACTAATGACTAGATGAAGGGTTTGGGCGATACCCGTTCCCAAACTACGATCCCCTAACTCCGAGTCCTGCTATGAAGGGCTGGCAGGACACAATCAAGAAGGACACTGCTGAAGTCGAGATGACTGCAGAAGATACTGATTGTGAGGAGAGAAGGAAATGGAGATGACTAACCAGAACAGCGGTCAAAAACCCAACAAAGGCGCGAGATCAGCTAGGGTAAAAAACGGTGAAATTATCGAAATAAGATGCGCCTTCCATCAATTTTGAAGGAATCCGGTCGAAATGAAAACAACAATAAACCGTTACTGTCCAAATCACTCAAAGAATTGTATGGACTGTGCAGTGTACATACAACCTTCGAAGAACAGTTGATATGATATCGAGTTTTTTGACTACCAAAATGATATCATAACAATCCCAACATCTTACCAACTGAATGAACTCTGGATGTGAGGGATGCAAAATCAGGACAGGATGATGAAAAAAACTGCGTGAGGAAGTTGAGGGGGAAAGGGGGACTCCTGGGAGTGTGAAGTCTGGAAGCTCTTTCACTGATAGCTCCACACAACAAATTCTAACGGTTTGTAGAGGTTATGTGCCTGGCTGGTTCTGGTTACGACCACGACCGGTCAGGCACCTGCTTTGGCCCTGGTGCAATATGGAGCCAACCTGGAGGGGGCAGCATAAGATGCAAAAACGGCAAAGCCCCGGGGATTCGAACCATCAACCCAGCTCAGCCGTCCCAATTCGAAGTCCATATCGCTATCCACCACACCATCTATCGCTGCCAGCTGCTCAACCGTGGAGAACATATATGAAACTTTCCCCACTTTTCAACATGTGGCTCCCTTTTTTGGCTACCGTTCACTTTATTTTCAATTCGCAGTCCACTGGCACCTTCTACTGTGCGGACAGTCGACACCATGAATGGAACAAGCGACGCTTAGTGGGTTAAAACGGCAATTCCTGACATAATCATTTTCACTGTTTTTTTGGCATTAAGAAAGCCATTTAGCGGAAATGGACCATAGTTCTATACTCAGTGCTCATGCCCCCATACCATGCAAAAAGCCACCTTCAAAAAGCGTCCCACGCCCTGAAAGACCTTTCTCGTAAGAATACCTCGAACCATGCTAGCTTTGTAAAAAAGTATGTTCGCTGAT